GAGATGAGGCGGAAAGTCTTTCCACACTCCAAGCAGTGGTGAGGCCGATCTCCAGAGGGGTCCCCTGCTGTGTCAGGGGCTGAAGGTCCTGCTGAGTCCTCTGCTCTGCCCGGGGAAACACTGTCTCCTCTCCCGGCTCCAGAAGTCCTAGCCAACTGTTTCTGTCCATCCAGTCCGCCCTGCTGCAGGGCACCACCGCATTCGCGCACAGGTCTTTGGTGACGCAGAGGGTGAGTAAAGGCACGCTGGGAACCTCCCTCCCCTCCAACTTGAACATAGCCAAGGTCACCAACATTGTGGGACGATCGCTCTCCATCCCCAACTCTGTTGTCATTGCGCAACCCAGGCTCCTTCCTGCTGGGCTGCCCAGAGCCTGAACCTGGTCCCTGCTCCTCTTTAATCTCAAACCTGGATGCTCCACCTGGTCCCTGAGACTGCCTCTCATCTAAAGACAAATTGTAACATGAAGAGATGGTTAACGTAGAAGCATCACTATATGAAAACACAGAAATGAGTCCATGTGTCCATTTACAGTAGGTTCTGACTCATTCAAGTTTTTTGCAAAGGAAACCCAGAATATACAGCGTACAACACACATTGTGTATATATTTACCTTGCCTGCTGGATTCAGAGCACATGTGAGATGTGTTGGATGCAAAGTCCAGAGCGTGGTTGGTCACAGAGCCATCAGGTTGGATTGAAAGCTGGCACATTTTGTAGTCATCTCTTGGCTCAAACCCATGAAGCGAGTCGTCCACAGAGCCACCGAGACCCAAGTCAACACCGGCTCCGTTCACATTTCGGGAATTCTGGTGGTCCCTGTCCAAGCCTGAAGCCATCGAAGCCATGGAAGACAGCGATGGGGCGAACACTGACTGACTGATTGTCTGAGGGCCTGTGTATGAGATCTGAAGCTGGTCTATGAGCTTCTGAGCACTACACAGGCATTCCTGTAAAGTCTTCAGCTCCCTCTCTGACACTTCGAGACGCACTTTGAGCCTTTCATTCTCTTGCTCCTTGTGTAGCAACTCTTGCTGAGTCTCATTGAGCACAAGCACCACTTCGCCCAGAAGAGTATCAACTGCTGCGGACATGGCAGTTTGAATGGTCGGGGCGAGACGGGATTTCAGCGACGTTACAGTCACGCTGCCCTGCGAAGCTCCGTATCCAGCCTTGTCTGCTTTGCGATCATAACAGGACTCTACCCCGGTCCTGTCGGGAATGTTGATGATACTTTGTTTACGGCTCCCACTGTGGACTGAGCTGCTGCCGCTATTTGATGGAGAGGAATCCATGCTACCAGCATAGCCTGTCCTCCTGGAAGTCATTATTTAATGTGCTTAGCTAGCTTTAAGGCAGTTAGCTAGCGTTTGCAGCCTATGCTAATGTTTAATATGCTACTAAAACTGTCGAGCTGGTTTTGTTGCTGGAATAAATCAGAGCAAATGACAGAAGAGTCCCCAATTACACCTGCCTCATTAGCAGTCTAACTGGCGTCTCCGACAAAAACAATGTAGTCAACTCCGAGATGCGACTCTCCTTTGGGCCTGGCTCCGCTCGCTAACATTAGCCTGCTAGCTTTAAATCCTAAAAGTGCCAGTCGGTCAAAGACGTACTGTTGTAAAACACCGTGACTCTGCAGGAGAAATGTGCGGCTTGCCTTTAAATCAGTCTTTCAAGTCCGTAAATGACTGTTCAAATACTTCAATACCATGGCCCTCAGCAGCGACTCACCCATTCCCAGCTTCTGTCTGCAGAACTGTACTGTATTGTACGCCGAGGCCTGTCGCACAGAATTGACGTCAGTAAAGACGCTCAGTGAAAGGGGTTGACGTTGCCCTGAGTGCGACCTGAAGGGTTTCATCTCCTCTTCAGCAGAGAAATTCCTTTTAATTTCATGAATTCTTTTGAAATTCAGTCCGAGCAGTTCCCCCAGTGGTCAAAAGGACATCCACACGCAGAGCCACTGAAACATAAAATTTCCTCTCAGAGTTTTAAACAATTATTGCTGTTTTTCTTTTTTAAATCACTTTTCAAACCAGTATGGAGGACCACGTGTGTCATGTAAGTGGTTATAAAATATTCCAGTTATTGTTATCTAACTGGATAATAAAATAGGAATGAAAAAATATTTTCCAAATTAATTAATTAATTAATCAATCAATCAAAAACTAGTTATTTTATCCCCCTCTCACCGCTTTGCGGGGTGGTATGTGTCATCCTCAAGCTCGGGTTCTCTACCAGAGGCCTGGGAGTTTTGAGGGTTCTGTGAAATATCTTAGCTGTTCCTAGGACTGCACTCTTCTGGACAGAGACTTCAGATGTTGTAATGTTTTCAACAGTTTGAGAAGCAATTTAACTGGCAGAGGGGTGACGCTGCAAATTCAATCATGAATCATGAGAACCAAAAGCATCAGAACTGCATCAAACTTTACTAAAGGGCTGTGGCTGGAAATAGCAAAGGAAGACATTGTGCACATGAAAAACATGCAAAGCACCAAAATGAATATTATTCAACATATCCCTAGCATTTTACAGAAAGTATTCAGATGTAACCCCTAATGAAGACTAATCATGAACATTTAAATTAATGACACTGCAGTCCTCCAAAGGCAAGTCTAGCCAGGTAGCCTGTTATGTGTGTAGCCTATATGATTTATTTTTTATAATTTCTCTTTTTTCTAGGATATTGGCTTTTTTGCATGTGTAGGCTTAATGCAATTATAGCATCACTTTATATTACACAATGAAATTACTTGCTAGTTACCATCACTTACTGACCTTTTGAGAAGTCATGATAGCCACGTGTTTCTTCTATTCAAGCGTGACTCTTTGACCAATTTGTGCATTTTTTTCCTTCTTCGTTAAACCCACTGTCAGCCTGCAAGTCACTCTTCGGGATGAAATGTACTACTCACCTCGCGGTAGTCCAGCAGCCATTTGCGGAGAAAAGCTTAAGTTTAACCTTTTCAATCTAAAATTAAACTTCCAGGGTTCAAAAGGTAAAGTACACGCAGGCCATCGACCTCTCAGTGGATTATGCAAACTCTGAAACTGGTGGAGAAGACAACAGTTTATCAGCAGACTGCGGCAGGCTGCGTTGTAATTGCAGGATGCTAATTTCGGGGAGCTGGCCAAACAAATCATGAATTTTCTGGTGCTTCGCAGATGAACCGCTCATTGTCACAGTGCAATCTATCATGAAAACTTATTGTTACCCACACCCAGTTTTGCAGCTACATTACACACCCAGCCTGGCTTTTACACCCTTTGTCATGTTTTTTTGACTTATGTTGGTTGTAATTATTATAGGCTCTAGGAGGCACTGTGGACTGCTTTAATAATGAATGATAGTGAGGTGAGGTAGCTAATAAACGCCACATTACATGTTTTAAACGAATGGCTCATGTTCAGAAAGATGACTTGAGTCATTAGGAGATATTGTCCAATGAATAGTGCCAGCAGAATTCATTACATTCTTGAAAATGTGTGTTGCAGTGCCACATTTCTGATTTGTTTAACAATGACTAGGCGTGATGTTTTCAATTGAATGAGGTTTTAAAAATGAACTAATGAAAGAAGAATCTTGGCTTGTTAATTCTAGTTTTATAGATCTCTGTTGCCTCATTCAGGGAGTCAGTTGGCCAAGGCTGGCACCTGAAGTTATTGTTTCCCATAGGCTGTTAAAAAATCCCAACTAATGATTTGTTATAGAGCTCCTCTGGTCCTGCTATACCTTGTAGTATTCATTTGGGCCACTTCCATTTCAAATATACCATCCACTGTGGTTAGGGGGAAAGTGATGTGGTCCATGGCAAAGAGGGGCAGTGCATTGTGGGATTCTATAACAAACGATCTAACAGTTACCATCTGCTTGACTTTGTGTCACTTCCATAAATATTTCTTACTCAGTGACTCTTCTGTATCTAATTAGCTCATATTGCCTGTTACTTCATCTTTGTTCCTGCTAGCTTATTAAAATGTTTGTGACTCAGTTTTTCTATGGGCTTGTTGTGAATAAATTCTTTACAGACCAACAATGGACTCACTATGAAAGAGGTACTTTACCATAAACAGGAATTATTAGGAAATAAGGCAAAATCAAAAACATGTTTTTAAGCATTAGATTCAGATATAACACATAAACACAACTAGTATTACACAATATACAAACATACCCACACATGTTCCTATATGCATCTCCTTCACACCTACACACCCACACTTTTTCCTGTATGTACTTGGACTCAAACACATTCACTTACAAACACTCATACAAGAAAGAAAGAAAGAAAGAAAGAAATGCAAAAAGAAACAACTGATACATACAATATAAGAAATAAAATATAAAAAGATTTATCTGAAAGGGAAAAATAAGTTAAGCATGATGCTGTACCTGTCAACACATTGGTTCCTGTGGAATAATATACATGCATTCAAGTTTCAGGTTCAAGAAAAGTACCAGGATGGCAATTTCATGCATAACAAATAATTCCCAGAACAAGTCCAATCAGGTTTATTTACGGCCTTTTGGTGAACAACTGCCCGCCATTTTCATACCTTTCTGTTTTGCTGCAGTGTTTGGAGTCGACTCATATATTTTATTTAGGTGAGAGGTTAGATGGCAAAGGAGGACATGCGTGGATAGACTGTGTGGAACTAGCGGTATGTCAGAGATGACAAATTCCAATGTGAATCAAAACCATGACAGCGATCATAGTCCTGTTCAGTTTCACCCCTAAAAGGAAAACATTAACAAGTGACACAGGCTCTGAAAAACCTGCCCAACGTGAAGGAATGCAACAAGAAGATGGTTCACTTTGAAGAACAGAAATTAGGAAGCAATGATGTAACTAATAGTAGACTATAGTAATACCACTAATGGTATGCACATGCAGTCACTCACATTGCTAAACCATTTAGCAAGAAGGGGGGTGGAGCTAGTTCAGAACGGTCGGGAATAAGGGAGAGGGGGGGTTGTGGGAGGGCAGAAAGAAGGAGGTGATTGTTGGGGAGAAGTGAAACATATAAAGGGGGACAGAGCAAGAGAAGGAGCAAGTGGAGGAAAGACGAGGAGAAAAGAGCTCACTCACATTTTGATGAAGCTTTTGCAAACAACAGGTACGTTCCTATCTTTTACCATTGGCACATTTTCACTCCTAACTCAAGGGGATATAGTTTAGCTGTGGTGCAAACAAAGAGCACAAAGTGTTAGTATTCAGTGAGGGCTCCTGCTCTGTTTTCAGTGCAGTTAAATACAGAGATTTATGAATGGGCTTCATTGTTATATCTCCATGCATGTTCACCACAGAGCACATTTCAGGTATGTTTGTGTGGTTTCTTGTGGAAATCGCACAGGCAGCTTGTAACTGGATCCAGCCTAGAGGGCTGCTGCTCTCTATCATGGGTGTGTAGGCATTTGGACCTGTTGTGCAATACCGCCTGGAATGCTGAATTAGTGTGAAGTACCTCCAAAGTTTAACAAATGAGGATTATCCCTAACAGCAAGATTTATACAAGACTATAAATCATTGACAAACATGCCACAGAATAATAAATTTAAATTAATTAAGTCCACATTTTTGTCATTTGCTTACCCAAGAGAAAAGCAGTGTGCTCTGGTTTTCAGAAAACAGTTTATGCTTTGAAGCTAGGGAGATTTTATTTATTTCCCAACTGAAACTAGGCCCACATTTAAGCCATTTGTTTCATTCGACACTGCTTCCCTGTGCAGTCGTATAATCTCTAAAAGACACAGCATCAGGGGAGGAATCTCTGTCTTCAGGCTCTTCCATACAAGACAAAAAGAAACAGGCGCTCTGAAGGTACACATTGCTGGAAACCCAAGGGGCTGATATATTTTTAATATATATTTTTAAAAAAACTTATTTTCCAACATACTGAGTTTTACTTTCTGTGATCACCAGACAGCACAATGGCTGCCAGCAGAGACCTTCCTTTCCCCCTGGTGATCGTTTTCCTGCTTCTCATCAGAGGTTACTCTACCCTGCCTGTGACATCACAAATCCCTGGAACATATCCTCTGAGACCACAAGGGTTTTTGACCGAGCCCCTTCCCTCAGAGGACTACTCTCAATATGAAGACACAGAGAGCCCTTTTTCACTCAAAACAGCACCTCCAGTTGAAGCGACCTCTGAGCGATGCAACTACAAACCCTGTCTGGAAGGTCAGATCCCCTGTGCTGTTCTGGCAGCCTCCACCGGCTGCTTGTGTCCAGGGTTCACTTTACATAATGTGGCTCCAGAGACTCCCAACCTGAAATCGGTGTCCTGGAACGGGTCAGAGGTCGTAGTTCATTGGTGTGCACCTTATTCATATGTCACTGGTTATATTGTGACAGTAGGGGGACAAGAGAGACAGAAGTTTGGGAAGGACCAAAGGAGCGGCGGAGTGGGTGACATAGACCACCTCTCAATGGTCTGTGTAGTTGCAGTGAATGATGCTGGACGCAATGAGTCTTGCAAGATGTACCAGCCCAGAGACAACAGTCTGCCTCTGAAAGCCGGACTCATCGGGGGAGCTCTGGGCTTCCTGCTGCTCCTCTTGCTGGCCGTCCTGCTCTGGAGGCACAGGAGTCAAAGGAAACAGGAGGACAGCATCTCTATGCATGACACAGCTGAGGCACAGTGAACAGAAAACAGAGCAAGACTGGACGCACAGTGAGATAAGACTCTCTCCCCTGGGACTCCTCAGCCTCATTGCAGTTAATTAACTGTGACTACATTATTACATCTGAGGCTTCCTGCACAAAGGGGCTCTCTGAAAACGCAGTAGGAAATGTGGTTCATCATCTCACTTGAATATATCTGACTGGTAATGTCCATTGCCTAATTCTTGTTTCATTTTGATAACCCCGCTGGTGGTGTGTTAAAGCACGTTCCCACATCAGCAATTTGAAAACCAGCTGCAGAAAAATATGGTATTTATGAGCTAAGTTTTCTAATAATGAAGCCCAGAGGACAAACAATGGATAAACTAAAATTTTGATAGAAAGATTCAGTGAATTTGGTCCTTTGTTTCGCATTTCAAGAATCACCAGTACAGTAATTTAAGTATTTATTTTTATGTTGATTTCAGAGACAAAAGCTGATGGGTATAAAGGTTCAAATTACAAGATATTTTTACTATTATTATTGTTATTATTGCAGACACATAAAACATGTATCAACAACAAAATACTGTCCACAAGGCATAATTTTAGGAGCATCGCCACAGTATAGAAAAAGTGTATGTATGGTTGTGTTTGAAACTCTCAGCGAGAGTTTTGTATTAGAGTGACTGATTATGGTTTTGAGGATGAATGATGTGCTGTATTATGTATTGTATTTATGAACATCATTTGGTTTGTTGCCTGAGATGTTCTATGTGTTAAAAGTTGGAATTGACAGGTTAGCTTTGGAGAAACAAGCTTTAAAGCACACAAAACAAGGCTGTTCAAACTGGAACGATTTTATATGTTAAAGTCTGACTATTTAACTCAAGTGAAATCTTAGTCGCTATTACACTCATGTGTCAAAAATATTTAGGATGGGTGTGTCTTTCCATCTGTCTTACTGTGGGAAGTTGTGTCAGCATACTGGATGAGGACTGTCTGTTTTTCCAGCTGTCATATAATAGCCCTATTCAGTGAATATGAATATTGTGAGACTTGTCTCATTCCAGCTGAGACTTCCAGTCATCTAGCACTGGGCTGGTGCAAAGCTTCAGGCTTTTTTTTTTTGCCATGATGAAAAAGAGAAGAAAGGCCAAAAATTTAAATCCTCCCAGTTTATCTCATGTTCAAGCCTCCATCTGCATGTCTCGCAGCCATGTTATAATTCCTTTTTGCTCTGGCTGCTGCCACAGAGTTGTTCCACTGCTCCTGGCGTCTTTCTCATTCCAACTGCACTGCACAACTTACATCGCACAGAGCTGTATGGAAGTCATCTAACATCTGTAATTTGGAGACACAACAGATTGTTTATTTCAGTTGCTGAAATGGCCTCAAGATGTTGCTTTTATGACACACATTCAGAGAGTGCAGTCACTCTCAAACTGAGAGGAAAATACTGACTTGAATTGGTCAGTATGAGACGATATGCAAAAAGAATGTCCTTACAATATCATGTGGTGGTAGCAGCCTGTTTTAAACAGATGAAGATGTAATGAGCTTAATGTACCAATGCAGGAAAGGACTACTTCCAGAGAAGTGCTGTTCTGATGACAGTACCAGAGTAGCACAACATGTACTTAGAGATAAACAGATATGTACATCAATGTATCTTATTTCAAAAAGGATGTGGTTTGCCTTTTTTAAATAAGCTATTTCTGAGAAACTCTGGTGGTTTTGACTGTTCATGAAGAAATCAAAATCTACCTATTACACAAAGTTAAAAGGTTTATAATGAGCAAACTGGTGGTCATACAGATAAAAGGAAAATGAAGGAGCTGCGTGTACTTTGCCTCTGCTGCTGCCCCTGGAGTTTAAAATGCTTCTTAGCTCTTTGACCACAACAATGCAGAGCCTAGAAATCTCCGGCCTCAATATAAGACATAAATGTTACATGACTGTACAGAAAATGTAGATAAAAGGCAATGCTGACATTTTCTCTTTCAGAGAGTCTCACACACTTTTGGTATAGAAGTCCTGGTTCAAATTATTTTAAAAAAAAAAAGCTACTGGTATCTAAATACAAAATTGAACCACTACTGAACAGTCAAATTTAAACCCCATTAAATGTATTGCATTGGGATATTTTAATTTGACATACATTTATTTGATTTTTATTTCTGTAGTTTGAATTCTGCTCTTTGAAGTTTTTGACATAGAAAAACTTTCTAATCACCTTCTTAAAATTTTACATATTTAGGGCGACAATACTGTGGGGTTTCCAGTCTTTCATATGAGCTGCTCTCTCTTGGATCACATGACTGGCGAAAGGGCTGATCCATTCCATTAATGCTGGATTGTTTTTCCGACCTTGAGGCTACGTTTTGTGAAGCGGTTGTCTTTAATTGTCCACTGCATCTGTTAGGGCCTGTCCATAGGCTCGCCATTCATCTGTGACAACATCAGAGCCTCTTCTTACATGATGTTGGTCGGCAACAGGTCTTCTCTTGAGCATCTCTCACCACCCTGAATTAACGCCGACAATTATTTTATCGCACGTTAACACAGTTTTTATTTTATTATTATTAGTTTGAAAGTCCCTTGCTCACTGGCTCTGAATACACATACAGTCAAACCATGGGTCACAGGAGGGGCGGGATGTTGATCAGCCTGCAAATCACCCACCCAAACAAGCAGTGGAGGGAGGCTTCAGCAGACCACGCTATCATCTTTTCTTTGCAAACAGCTTTTGATGTTAGTGGGGATTTAAGCGAAATATCATCTGGTAAAAGCACGGATGTGAGGTGCAGAATGTGCGTAGGAGAAAATTCTCAGTAATTTTAAGTAAGTAATTTTATTTATTTAATTTTCAACATCTTAAATGAAAGACAAAGCAGATAACGGCCCTGATGAATCTAAGATATTATGCAGTTACAGTTGCGGTTGCTTTTCATTTTTTTAACTGAAGTCACATCTTGCGGCAAGGTCAGCAGCAGGGATGAGCGTTGACAGGACACTTCTCACTCAGGATAAGTCATGTTGAATCACTGCTATCTCCTTCAGTAAACCGGTGACTCATGTTATTTTTCTGGTAGAGGGATCACATATGAAAACAGTGAATCAGCTGATAGCCATAGTATTTCACCAGACAATACTTTGTGTCAGCCTCCTCCTGCCTCCCCTGCTAATATAACTGTGTGAATAATAATGAAGAGTTTGTTTGTGTCAGTATGAGTTTAGTCTAACTGCTGCTTGACATGTTTCTGTTTGTGTTTATGAAGTTTTGGATTCTACGTGCAGGTGCTGCTCTGTGTCATGAGGCTAATGATAATTAAACAGACCGAGCTGAAAAATGACTCACCCAATAAGCTCTACTAAATAAGGAAGAGTCACGTAAGCCATGAAGCAGACAAGACATTTAAATTGGCATGAAGTAATCTAGGACTTTTATCAGTGTCTTTTAGCATCCACGACCATTTTCACAATAGAGACAAAGGTGTTTTAGCACAGCAGACATCATGAAGCGAAACAGTACTATACAGTACTATACAGTACATCATGATGCGAAAGTACCTTATAAGGGCCTCTGTTAACTGCTTTCAGGCTAAAAGTCACCTTATTGCCCTCTGCTGGTCACATTCAACCCTTTCAGAAGATCCCTAACTGCACTAAAGGGCAGAAAATGACATTAAGCAAAAGAAACATAATCACAATCATAATGATGTCTACAAAGCTGGATCATACTTGGCTCAATACCAATTAAAGGCCTTTGTCAACTGGCAAAAATTGGATGAAATGACTATGTATATTGAAAGGTGTCGCACGTACCAACAAACGCACAGAGAATTATCACCTGCCATTCCCAAGTGTTTTAATGTCTTTCACCTCATTGCTTTGGTTTTACATGAATGCAGCGTAACTGGTTCACTTTCAGTGCGCTCATCAGTGCAAGTTTCCAGACCCCGAAGGCAGCTTTTTTCATTAAAAACAACATCTACAAAAAAACACCTCTAAAAATCTACCTGCCCAGAACTAAACATCAGACAGACACAGTTAGCGAATAGCTGGTGAATGATCATCTCAAGAGTTGGTGGAGACCAAAGAGCTAAAAGTAGTGTCAGCACATTCCCCATAAAACTGTATATGTCAAATATTGTGTTAACAGGTTGTGGTGTTGGTAAAAGGTCACTGAACTCAGGTTCAAGTATAAATAATCACATCACAATGTATGGTATGTAAAATGTAATTACAAGTAAAAGTCTAAAGTTAAAATAAACAAATATCGTGGGCAAATTGTACATAAAATAGCAACGAAAAAAAGTATCACTGTTATTAGGTGTCATTGTTTTATTTTGTGGTATTACAGAGGCGTTAACACTGTAAGCAGCATTTTAACGTTGCTGCTTGACATGGTGGTTATAACTATTTTATATCTTTTGGGTAGTTTATAACAAAGCCTCATATTTTACAAGATAATTATAAGGTTAGTGTGTAAAATCTGAATGTTTTTGTAAGTATTTAATATGGCAAGGTGAACAGAAATTCCATTAAACACAGAAAAACTTGCCAAAGAAAGAGGAAGAGCTGTTGAAGTTGAGACTAATCTTCAGTAATATTATGGATAAACTGCTATTGTATAAAAGACCCCCTGTGTTGTATGTGATGGGCCCAATTGTTTAATTTCTACAGAAAAACAATATCCTTTTCACTGAGTGCTTTTCATGGCAGCGGCTTTGCAGCTGAGGCTTTAAGAGGCTTTACTGCAATGAAAGTCGTTGTAGGTTGTAATATTATGTTCATCTCATAACATTATACTGGTACCAATTCAAAACCATCATTCATTTTCATGCACTTAATTATTCATGAAAAATTAATTTGCATTTAGCGCTGGGAAAATGAATGTTTTTATTACTAGTAATCCGCCAGCAGGGGCACTAATGGTTGCTTTCTCTGCACGCTGGGGTCAGCTTTCAGAGGGCATAAAACGTTCAAAGTGGGTCAGGCATCCATCAGTGCCCATTATTGGACGCAGACTGTCCTGAGCCCACACTGGCTTTATTCAAAAGCAGAAAGGTTTCCACTTCTTTAGTCTCCTAAGCATTTTGTAGGCAGTACAATGAATAAAAAGAAAGGTAAGTTGAAGCGAGTCAATCAAAGAACTCATTGCTAAACGAGCTAGGTGTCATCCAGCATTAAAAACAGCTTTTCACAGGAGGACTCTGGGCCTTCATCAGAGGAAACTCTGGGTCTATGTGGGTGGTTGTGCAAACTGATCCCCCCCCCTGCAGGCGTCTCATCCTGTTTACTCCTGTTATGTCTTAGACTGTGTCTCTCTGTCTTGGCTCAAACCACAACTCTGTAAATAAAAAGATTAACTTCTGCCTCTAAGTGTAACTCTGGCGTCTCTGGGAGGATGAGCGGGGTTTATGTAAATGCAACGAGGCGTGTGTTAGATTACATTTTTACATTTCTTCTTTTGGCATCATCGGCGACGAAAGAATAACAGTGCGACATCTTTCATCATCCAGACATCTTTCAGACAAACAGGGTAAGTGTGAGTCAGAGCTATTTTATCTTTTTGTTTTTTGGATTTTATAGGAACCACTAGAGGTCATTATTGCAAAGAGGGCTGTGGAAATCAAAGCCACCTCTGGCATGCACTCACTGAAAATATAGCGGAAATGCAAATGAGTTGCTCTAATAGGGGTGAAAATGAGTTTGCAGAGGTAATCAGCCCTGCCACATTTTTACATCCCAGAGGAGGGTATGGGTTTGCAGCTAAATGTTTGATTCCCCCCCCCAAACATTTTTTTCATTCACTGCAGGACAGGCAGGTCAGCGCTCTCCTCTCAACTCCCCAGGATAGCTCAGCAAAAGCGTTTCATAAAGGAGAGGCGGAGAAAATCTTTCTGCTTTTTTCCCCTCTTCTCCCATTTCCTTGTATGAAGAGCGAGGGTAACCATGGCAACCTGGCATTACACAGGACGGAGTCGAGGAGGTTGAAACTGCGCTCAGCTCAGAGAGAGAGTTATCAATCATTTTGGCATCAGCACTGTCTCTCTCTCTCTCTCTCTCTCTCTCTCTCACACACACACACACACACACACACAAACACACACAAACAAACAAACAAAGACACACACGCGCGTTTGCCTGCTCTTTCATCCTTCACCTGACTTCACAGGCCATTTTCCTTTTTATCAGAGAACACAGAAAAAAAATCTGCTTCAGTGCACCAGTATCCAGTGGATATAGATCTGGATGCATAAATCACTCACTTTAGAAGGTGAAAAAAGTGTTGGCAAATGCCAAAGTTTTCAAAACCATGGCCAGCATGCCAGATTGTATTTTATCATCTTTCAGCAACACTAGAAGAGTCCACTCAAATCATAAAAGTAGATAAATTTGGTTCATTTAGACAAGAGGAAAATCTTGAAACCATAGGAGAATATAGTGATGAGTTTTTTGTTCTTGCAATAAAAAGATGTGACCTTTATTCGTTGTGCAATAATTAAAAAACAAATTAAGGATCTCTGTGGAGATTTACAGGCTTATAATGAATTAGTCAATGAAGATATTTGCCTGAGCAAAAAACAAACCTGCAAATATGTTCAGGTCGCACCCAGTGGAGAACATTATGACACAGTTCTTGTTGAAAGAAGATGTATCATGGCAATCGATTTGCAGCCATTTGCTTTATAAACACCTTCCTGTAATTATTTATGA